TGAACCTAATGCCATGTTAGACGCTTAGGAGAATTGCAATATGTATTTTCTGATTTGCCTAGTTAGCCTGTATCAGCTGTGAGATATGAGAGGAGAGGTGAGAGAGAGAGAGAGAGGCCTCCGACACTGGGCTCTGTACTCTAATGAGAGGCAGGAAAACGAAAGGCGCTGGGCAATGAGATTAGATGCAACTCAATTCAATTACCGCTGAGCCGCCACGGGTGACGCTTCAGAACTCATCCTGTTAGGATCCGGTTCACAGACGAAGAAGCGGACTGCGGCTCTCACTCAGCTGCTGTATGCTACACTACCGCAACTCTCATCTGCAACAGCTCTGATTTATAAGCACACGGGGCGTCGTTAGGCTCTGTTGGGATTTCCAAGCAGACGCATGTTTCTGATATAGATTCAAGAGGGAAATGCTGGAATAATTGAGTTTTCAGTCATCGCAGATGTTTGTATGCTTTTTCAACAACAAGAGAGTTGTTTCAAGAAGTGTATTTCAGATGAAAGAGAAATTGAATAGCCTACCCTGTTTGAGCTTTATAAAAAAAGTATTAAGATCCAAACAGCATATTACTACTATACCAAGGCACAACCTACCCAACTCTGCCACTTATCGACCAACCCTGAGTCTTAGTAACCAATACCAATCCTCATGTTAAAACAGAAGTGACAAAGGCATCATGTACTAATCAATCACAGTCAGAAGACGGCGGGTTCTTTAATTGCTGTGCAGGATTTGTTATTTAGCCCTCCCGAATGCCTGGTCTTTGCCATAAAACCACAACCAGCATATCAACCAAGCTGCTTTTTAAGCGTGTTAGATGGAGGCTGGAATTGTGCATCTGTCAAGATACATCTACTCCTCTGACCTAACGCAGAGAAGGCTTTTATGGGTTACCACAGGTCACAAGGTTCCTAAGGAAACAAATATACACAAATACACTTGTAGTCTGGAAGAATAAAGACTAAAATAAACTCTCAATGTATCCAAATGACCTTTGTGCTCGTCCGCCTTCAGTACAGGCATCCCCAGCATATTCCAGGCTTTACAGATTAAAGCAAGCATTTTCTGTTTCTGTTTCGCTTTTCAGTCCATCAGACTGAGTGTGCCTTTTGTTCAACTTAGATGTACATCCTGTGTTGGCCAGTGGGCAGAGTATGCACTAATTTGTTATTTTCTCGAGCGATATATACACCGTCACACTAAGAACTGCAGCATCGCATTCATGCATTGTTTAAATGAGTTGGATATGGCCTTGTATTTTTGGGGGGTTTACAGTGCAGCATTATTATAAAATACAAATAATTTGTTCAATGCACAATAGCCTGGGATGAATGTCAATTGAAGGAAAATGTATGTACATATTACTTCTCTCCTGTACTGCAATAGAGCACTTATTACCCAACTTAGTCTGAATAATCAAACAATAGCCTATGTGTTGTGAATTGATACCTCCTGTTAGTCGACATGACATATGTTTTTATTTCATAGGTGGAGGCGGAATAATCTTCTGAGCAGGCTCGCTAACACTGACAGGACGGCTTGCTTTTTAAAATTGTACAGTCCCTCACTCTGCTGGAATGTGAGTGTTACTTGAGAAAGTCAACAAATAATGACCCCGTACTGCCAGGAGGAGAGCAGACCAGGCCCTGGAGCGGAAGGCTGGCTAGTTAGCTAGCTGGTCTCCAGAGTTCCGCCTGCACTCGTACCATTGAGGAAGTGTCTCAAGTGTAACGCCAGCAGGATAGCATGGTGGATTTAGCTAGGTAGCTAGCTAGCTAACTAACCCACAGCTAAATGAGTAAAGTGTAAACAAACCTTGTTTAGAGGCTTTTCTGTAACTAGTGTAAGGATTATGCATACAAAAAATGCCTAAGGTAGGCTATAGCACGAATAGTATGATCCATGTATCTTAAGCTCACATACCGAATATGCACATTGTACTGTTTATATGTTTATAGTACATACTAGCGATAGCGAGCTTTACACCATGTTTAAAATATGCTCTGTATCGATAGCATGATTAGCTCTCAGGAGCATGATCAGCAGAAACTGCTGCAAGCTGCTGCAACATCTGTACAGCAGGGATTTATAGCCAGTGATAAGGAAAACTTGTTTTCCATTATTTAGAAGTTGGCTGTTTTACATTTGTGGATGAGACACAGCTGTGGGGCTCCAGAGGGCAGGATGTGAAAATGATTCATAGCTTTTATTCATGTTAGAAATAAATATTATATAAAAGCATCTATCAGAGGTGTCCAATGCTGTAGAATGAATGACAATAATACATTTCCGTTCATAAGCTGAAGCTGAAATGGACTCTGGCTGAAGCAAAGGTACATTTAAGTAGATAATAACATATTAGAAAAGGAACTGTCAGTTATGTTGCTGTTGTCACATTAAGTTCCACTCAAGCAATTTCGTTGAAATTTGATTTTGAAGTCTAAACCACTAAACATAAACTTTTCTGCTGACAGTCGGAAAAAAAATAGAGCAAAATTAATCCATTTCTGGACAGACTATTTACTACTGGGAGATTCAATCTTTTAATTTCCATATAAATTTAAAACTAGACAGGCATGGAATCTTGAATCTTAAATGAATCCAATTGTTTTGATACAGTTCAGGGTTTGCTGGAGGCAAGGGAAGATGAGCTTGCACGAATCAGCACTTTCAAAATAAAAGCTCTCTGTGATTGTAATCTGATTAAGAGTACACTGATTCCTTCATTCTTAGAGTTAACATTATTCATGTTATTCTGGCACCTTGAACCTCAGATATGAAAATTTGAAATGCACAGATTTTGTGTCCACATAACACTACAGATAGTATATAAAGCACAAACCCTGTAGAGCAATCCCCAGTAGGCATTTGTATCTTCTTTTGATGTGTTATTGCCTCTTTCCAGCAGCACAGAAATGAATGATTGGACTGATATTTGCAGCCCTGAAACAAATACCTACCCATCATTTTAACCCGTATAGATGGCATGTCGTACACCCAACATGATTACATTTTGCTAAATGGTTCATTGGCATTTTTACCTTTACCAGCCGTAATCTCGTCAGGTTCCAAACCAAAAGAGACGATTTTGACCCAGTTAATCTGCATGACATCTCTTAATGTGAGAGGCTTTTATTGCTGGAAAGACTGCCATGCTATCCAGCTGGCTTGTGGTTGGTGAGGTTCTGAGCATATGCCTGAGGAAAATGAATAATGCATCCATGTTATTCAAACCTTCATTCTTTAACTTTAGCTTTAGGTGGGGGAGATGAGAGGAGGTATGCTAAACGAGAGACTGCCGCTGCTGTGCTCATGTAAAAATGATGATACCTCCGAAAAGCTTCACATGTTTTCTCTCATTCACAATTCTTCTTTTTTTCCCAGAGAATTGTGGCTTTTGTTCAGTTAAAAATAAAGCACATTTGACGATGTTATGCCTTCCGGCTACTATCACGTCAGATGTACGAATGTACATGCTTTCAACCAGCTCTGCTTTCAACCAGCTCTGCTTAATAGACAACATATGTGCCTCTACACAGCTAACAACATGCAAACACAACGTCATCTGAACTCAGTGTTCTGCTCCTAGGAACATTCATTTACTATAGGTTGAACTCCTTGGAGATGTGACCCGATGATCTGTTCGCGAGATAACCTCGAGGTATAAGAGGCTGATGTCCCTGGGCGCTATGCCGTTGCTCGTCTGGACTGATGACACACAGTGCGTCATCGTCTGCAGCTTGCTGTGTCACACGGCAAAAGATCATCTGATGGAGATGTGACCGCGTGCTGCAGATGCGGCCGCACACCAGGGTTGCAGACTCACGCGGCAGGGCACTCGCACAGCATCTAAGAAACGGGAAGGGACCATTCAGAGGGACTAGAAGGGATTTTAAAATCAGGGAAATGCAGAAAGTCACATAGTGGATTTCTTATGTAGTTGTTGTATCTTTGGTGCGTCTGTCGGCTTTGTTGCCTCTCTGCAGGCGGTTCATAGAGATGAGATTGTGGTTGGGAGAAATGCACATGGTAAAAAATATCTGACGAAAGTTTACTTTGCACATTGCTGCTCAAGCAATGTGCATAATACCCAATCACATGACATTAATAAGGATTGTCTGATTTGTGTGTGTCTGAATGCACACCATAATACCGTTATCTGCAGGTCTTTGCCACTTCTTTGAAACGGCTAATCACATGATGGAAGATATAAAGTTAATAGAGAGATTGAACATTATTGTACAACCCATTGGCCAATTCTTGATGAAATACCAGCAGAGTGCTTGATTTTCATTAATAACCTTCATGTCCATTCTCACCTCTTCAATGTTGAGGAAAATTTAAGCCTTTTAAAATTTGCTGTGTGCAATCAATCCCTCTAGGGGTTGGGAATAGAGCTTCATTATTCATTTTTGTGTCATATAATTTGACCATGATGTTTCTGGGCGCTCTGTTAAATGAAAATATTTAACATGTGAATTCATCATTGGAGGGGGTCATTCTACATATATTCTGGTAGCGTAAGGATCTCTTTCTACCAATGGCCTTGATGAATTTTTCATTGTCTTTACCTTTAAATGAGTTGACACAATTCTCCAGGGAGACACGGGCCGGGATGTGTTTCACCACATTGTCAAAGTTAACATGCAGCTGAGCTAAGTGCCATGATTTAATTGATGCCAAGCGCAATAACATCACACGCTGATCTTTTAATAATATGGAGATACAATTTCTGTCCCTTTACTTCATAATGATATTGCTTTTCCATGATGTAGAGGTAGATCTATGATGGCATCCACACTTGCACACAAAGTCTAGGCTCTAGACAATATTTTTCAAGGGCCCGTAGTGTTTAAATTGCTATTTTAGATTGTAATGAGACAGCCTTTAACCTTTGGATTCAAGCGAAAGCCTCTCTAGAATAAATTAGCCATATGCCTTTCTATGTCTAATCCTCTGGGTTTCTCTCTCTGTCTCTCTCGCTCTCCAGGTTTCTCCATACTGCAGGCCATAATGGAGGCAGCAGTAGCCAACAACTGGCAGGTAACCGCCCGCTCTGTTAGCGGCACAACAGATGCTGCGGAGTTCAAGCGCATCATTGAGGAGATGGATAGGAGGCAGGAGAAGCGCTTTGTGATTGACTGCGAGGTGGACAGGATCAACAACATATTAGAACAGGTGAGCCTCAAACTCACGGCACATGTGGCAACAGCTGTAAATAACACCTAATCTGGCACTTTTGTTGCTTCCTGCTGTCACATAATTTCCAGGCACAAAGGATTTGTGAAATATTAATTGGCCACTGGGAGACAAATTTGTAACAGAAACTGGATGCGCATGAAATAGGGCGGTGCAAAAATATCAATGCAGCCTATTACATTGATATAGTATCAATACATTTTTAAATGAAAAACAAAATCATGTTTTAAACAGATTTAAAATGTCTTATTAATGTGCAAAAAAAACCCTTCCCCTCCACCTCCATAACGCAAAATGTTGCTGCCTATTGCCTTCTACGCTAAAGCCGGTGAATCGGGAAGCGGCCAATATTATAACACGGCGTCTCACAGGCAGGCGGCCGTACACTGTGAAGCTGTGCTGTGTTACCCCTGACCATTCCCGCCGACGCATGATGAATGTAGCAGCAGCAGTGCAGCGGATTTACAAAAAGGTGTAGAAAGATGTCGAAACATTGCCCCCCCCCCTTCAAACAGAGTAGCCCTGTTGTGCGACGTTACACGACCAGACCGACAAGTCGCAGGCTCGGATTGCGTCTCACACCGTCGTTCTGGAGTGGGAACTAGTTTCACGTCTTTCGACGAGGCAATGCACGAGGGCCGTTTGGACGGTGACATTGATTTGCTCTAAACTAAACCCGAGGAATGGGAGATGAAATGGAAGGAACCGGTCGAGGCGACAGATAACTGAAGTTTGTGTTAGGACCACGCAATCAAAGATTCATTTTTATTTTCACCTGTGCATTTTTTGTACAGTGACATGACAAAACATCCAATTACAAAGAATTTCAGATCCAAGATCTAAGACTAAGTCTCTCTAAGATAATTTTTCCTGTTCTGCTGGGTGTCTTGCATGTGAGTTTCTACAAATAGCTGACGTGTCGTTTTCCTGTATTCTGCGTTACCTCATAAAGAATGTTTTTAAAGTTGAATGTCAGGCACAGTGAGAAGCCGCTTTGGGGTTTTTAGGAGCCGCGTTCGGTGCCGTTTGGTTGCTGAGTTAGAGGCCGGCTCGTTTGAAAACCACCGAGTGTGGTTGAAGCTGCCTGAGAGCCAGAGGTTGAGGGGTCCGAACTTGAGCCGCCGTTTGGAGAGACCACTGGATGAGGCATCCTTTTTAATCCTCCTCTGACAACCCCCGATCCCCTACTTTCCTCCATCACGGCCACTGCCTGAGGAGGAAATGAAAGGCCCACCAGTCCTTGTAGTAGGGGAAACACAATTACCATGAATAGATGAGTGGCTATTATGCCGCGCATCGCCTCTGCTCCACCGCCCCGCTCCACCACCCTGCTCCACCGCCCCGCTCCACCCGGCTCTCCTCTGCTTGCTGCTGCTCGCAATCGGCTCCCGCTTTGGATTCTGCTCGTTAACATTCATTTAGATATTGGCTTCCCTCTGCGTCCCAATATCCCCTCACCAGGGCTTGTTTCCCTTTTCTCTTAGGAATCAAATTAAGTCATAGTTTAAAGCCAAATGGTTTTAAGTATTATATTTTTGCGTTTAATTTAATTTTTGTGCTTTACATTTCCCTCCCTCACCATTTAGTCACTATAGTGAAATCTGTCTCCTTTTTTGTGCCCAGACTATGAATCATCTTTTAGGAAAAGCATTACAAATCACACGTTAGGCATATTAATGGTTGTGTCTTGTGCCCGCGCCCTATCCTGCAAACAACAATAAGGATGCAGAGCACTAATCTGTTGGACGTCCTTGTTTTTGTGTTGTTTCTCTCCAATTAATGAATTATTTTTTTTCATCTAGAAGGAGCTCTTTCCCTTCCTCCACCTCCAAGTAGAACATTTCTCTCCCTTAACTTTCTTTTAGCCCAGAAAAGGAAAATAAAGCCTTTAAACATTAACCTTCAAAGCAGCAGTGTACTTCATTTTGCCCCTTTTTTCACTGACAACCTCAGTGTGTGTTTTTTTCTTTTGTCTGTGAGGCTAACTGAAATAATCTGTCTTGCTCTGCCAATATGGATGAGCCACAAGCATTCAGGGAAAGCTGCTGGACTTCACTCTACAACCGCCACCTATTGGGCCATACCATTATACATCGAACAAGGGATGGGCTGTCCCCCATGAGGGCAATCATGGCAAAAAATGGCACCCACTGTCAGCTATTTGGAAACCCGCTGCTTCTACCTGTGGTTGTAGTTCTATTAGCCAATGATTGGCAGATAGAGATTCATCTCCGGACAGGAGTTTGTGTGTTGCTTTCAATCCGTCAAGGTCACTGCTGCTGAGGAAGGATCATGAGGTAGAACCGATTCAACCGGCTGATTACTAAGGAAAATGGGAATCAGGTCACTGGTTTAGCTTTATGATTTCTGTCGGAGTAATTCCAACACAGAACGGCCGTCTTTATGCTCTGCGATGAAATTCATGGCGTATTGAATAGGAAAGTGTCGAGCTTCCGTAATTTGGTTCAATTGTTGCACAGAAAGAAAACCCTCTGTGCTGCTCATTGTTAGCACCACTTGTGATCCCGCGGCTGCTAACGCTGCGGTCCGGCGGGGCCTGCGTTCCCCCGGTAGTTCACTGCACTGATCCAGCTGTCCAAGATATCAAATGTTACTCAATGATGAAATGACATTGTCATTGAATTCAGCCTCACGCAAAAAAACCATTATATTAAAATGCTGATCCCACTTTGAATATAATTCAAGTTTATTATATATATATATTCCATGTGCAGTACACTGCAGTGCTTTTATTTAAGTAAAGCATCTATTTACTCCTAAAATCAATGTATTAAATGTATGACCATCAACTAAATTTGTAAGATTTTTCTGTAGATTCTGCATACCATAAATTGACAAAATGTCAGTTTGAAATCCATCAGTTTGTTGCTTCAAATTATCATTGAATCATTATACTGCTTACACACAAACAAACTGGATGTACCTCATCGTCGCAAGCACACTGAGCTGAATGTCACTTTTATTAGCTTCATTTATCAGTTGACATGATGGAGAAATGCACTAAGGAAAGTATTTGCATAGTGCTGCATCAGGCGTAGTTTTGTTTGCTCCAGTAAGAGCAGTGAGTGAGTCTCCCTACAAATTTGTTTTGGGATGCCGAGGACACTGCCACACCCGGGCTGTTATCATTTTATGCAATAACAACCGTTCAGGATTTATCGCTCATAGGGCTTTTCCATCAATATACTGCACTGCAGATAAATTAACCCAATAGCTTCCATTCCTTCCCTTTCCGACAAAGACGGGAGAGCCTCTGCCGGCTCGGCTCGCTGAATCAGACGCAACAAACGGGGTCCATTGAGCCGTCTAGGTTTATCATATGAGGTGCTGAGGAAAATACCCGCGGCATTAAAGAGAGAGCAGAATAAACAAGAACTACAATTGAATAAAATCATCTCTGTACTACTGCCGCGCTTGGTAAACGATGATTCTTCAGAGCGAGTACCTGTATGGCGGTCCCTCGAGAGCCTGCACGTGTGCGTGTGTGCGAACTGTACATGTGCTCACGCCTAATCGGATCCATCTATGAGATTACACACACAGCGTCATATCTGCCTTTAGGCTCCTTCCTGGCCTTCTTTCCTCCAGGGATTTCTTCGCTGGAGTCTGCTCAAAGGCAACAACCTGCTCATCACTAGTGTAAAGAAAGGCAGGCGAGAAAAAAAAAAGAAAAGAAAGAAGAACGGCGCCTGGGACGGGCCCAGGGCACGCAAGCTGTTCGAAGACAGACAGACAGGGAGCCCTGTGCCAGACGCAAAGCTGCATTTCCATGCAGGGAAAAAAAAAACACAATAAGAAGTGAAAAGGATTCACAGAATGAGGGGGGGAAAGAGCGCTACATTTGGGGATTTGTTTGGACATCATTCTGTCGCCTGCAGAAGCATGAAGAGTGGCCACATTGCATCCCCATGCATAATTACAGATCCCAATGTCCCTCTCTCTGCTCTTCAATGAAGCACTGGAAGGAAAGTATGGGGGGAAAAAAAATATTGCTGTATCAAATTCAGTAAACGGGAAAGAAATCTGACCGCGGGTGATAAGGAGTCGTGGTAGATTGCCAGCAGCTGATAGAAAAATGTCAGCAATAAAATGGAGATGCTCAATCAGGCCTGTGGACGGAACAACGAAAAAAAAAAGGGAGCGGTATTTGTAAAGCAGGGGATGACATGTTATCGCTCATGTAACATAAACACACAGTTGTACTACAGGTGTTACTGAGTGAAATAAATACAACGATCAAACCTCCAAGGAAGGCGGTAAGCTGAAAGTGAGCCGATTCCTCTACTGATGTGAAAGGTGCGCTTGGTCTCAACGTCGGCTTATTGTCCACGGGGCACTCAGAGAAATATAGCCGAGCTCCACGGGGATACGGAGGGTTTTTAAATCCCCGGCGCCGACATTGATTGAGGTCCATTTACAAACTGTGATTATAGAATTAAATTCGGATTACAGTGTTATCATCAAACAGAATGTGACCTGTGACTCCACTGAAGGCGAGGCTGAGACCGGTGTGCTTTGATTCTGACAATTTGCATGATTAGTTAAAGTCTCATACCAATAAGGTATGTGTATCAGAGAAGCTTTTTTTTCATTTTTTATTAATCTTCAATCGACCAAAGTTACTCTGATCAAGTTCAAACGCAAGGGCGTCGTATTACAGTGTCGGTGATTCCATCCTCCCGAGCTATCACATTGTTAGCCACGTCACATCAAATGATATGAAGAATCATCTGGATAAAAGTCGGGGGTTGCTAAAATGTTCTGCATTTTTTTCAAAGGCCAAACACTTTATGCGCCTGTTATCTTTGGCCCGATATAACGCGACCGCCAAGAAAAGCATCTCAGCCTCAGCTGCCACTGGCTATTAATTAGAGAGTGCAGTAGGAAGAGCAATTCTACCAAGAGCCGGGGAGCACAACTGGAGACGCAAGAAGACAAAAGTCCTTTTGTGTCAAAGCGTACAGCTCTAATTCATCCTTCTGCCCATGGTGAGTTATGTGTGAAGTGGACCACTTTGATTTCTTTGCAGCCACAAATTATATGCTGTGTGTTTGGTATTAACACTCTGATTAATAATGCAAATATAAATCATAGTGATTTAAGATTGGTGCCAGAAATATGTTCTGTCACCACAATCCCGACCGTGCATCCTGTTATTCTACAGAGAATTGAAGATCGGATCAGTGTTGTTAGAAGGATTTTTATTACTTATTTTATTTAAGCTGAAACTCACTCATTTTCAACCTTCAAAGGTCCACATTTTTCAGAATAAAACCAAACCCAGAGACAACTATTTACCATTTTTGTGTTGTTAACTCCCCCAGTGTGTAAATGCCGTCATTTAAATTATATTTCACATCTTCAGTTTCTTATGAATACTATTAGTAAACAATTACATTGCAGTAACAAATAATAATTTCATTTTTGAAAGCAATTATTGAGATCATTTTAAATTTTAATTTGTGGTGAATGATGATTTTAACGTGCCAATTAATGCTGCTAGAACATTTCGACAGGGAGTCTGAGTCTTTAAGTTTCCTAGCTCTGGAAGAGGCTAAAAGTAATTTCATCATTATTTGCTCCTTTCGCCTGAGCCTCAGCGATTGGAATAATATCTAGGAAGTGATGACGGCTGACCTATCGTTTTCAGTCCGCTTCTCTCTGTGTTGTGGCAGACTCACTGCGCTGGAAAGGTCACACTCGGAGGAAAACGGTCGTAGTGTTTTACTGCGACTATGCAGCTGTAGTTTTACATTCAGAGCTCTTAGCTGGCTCTGGCTCTGCCGAGGCACACCGGGTCTGGTCTGGGGTGAAGTCAAGGTCGTCCCGGTTGTCCGTCTCCATCAGGCTTTAAAAGAAAACTCAAAGCCGGCGAAACGCTGGCTTTCTTTCAGCAGCAGAACAAAAGGTGGTGGAGCCAGTTCGGGATCGATGTGAAATAGGGTACACTGTATGAAAAAAATAGAAAAGAGGAATGGTATTATTGAAGCCCACTAAACACATTTCTTCTTGTCAGTGTCAATTGGGAAACAGAATAATTGGTTAGTAGCCGTGTGTTTGTATGTGTGTGTTCTAAAGGCGACTAACAGCATCAGAAATCGATTGAATGTGAAGGGGAGACAAAAATAGTCTATGAATAGAAAAGAGTTCAAAGGCAGGGATACAAAATCTAAAAGTGCAAGAAAAACAACATCTTCCAAAGCCACTAGAGCCCATTAATTAACCCACTAAATCTAATTTCTTTAGTGCCTTCACAGAACAGTGTTTGGTCGATGTTCCTTATGGTGGTAGCTGTCTCCCCTGAAGTCTTCGTGCTAAAGTTAAAAGTGGAGCCTGGAGATGACATGTTTGTTGCTCATGTCAAACTAGATTACACATTTACTTAAAACACACCACGTGTTAATTAGTGTGCTTTAGTGGTCGTAGCTGCTCCTCTTTGTTTCCCGTCTTTATATTAGCTTAAGCTATCTTGGCTCCAACTCCATCGAGATGAGATTATTATCCGTGTTCTCAACTCACTTCTTAAAAGGAAAGAAAACAAGTCTATTCCCCCCCAAAATATGCTTGGAAACACCTGTAAATTAACAGCATGGGCTGCTGCTCTTTTGTTTGGACAAGTAAGCTTATTTTCTCATGTGTTATGAGTAAGTATCATTTCTGTTAATAGTCTGTTAATGCTCAAAAAATTATGGACTTAAAATGAAATTTCAGCGAATCACATCCTACCGACACGATTAAAATATAGTCATCGCTCTCCGCAGTCAGCGGTGCATCACAACAGGTAACAGTGAAATCCGTCCATCTCAACCGGAGCCGGGGTCGGATTAACGAGGCCGAGGCCCGAAGCCCGAGGCGAGAGGTCGGGCGCGGGTTCTGTGAAGTCTCTGTGTCCAAGAGAAATTGTAGCCGGACTGAAAGTCTTGACAGTAAGAGTTCACAGTGGGACAAATTTAGTCCTGATGACGCAGCAGGAGAAGATTTATTTTCATGGAGCTGTCCGTCACTTGCTCATTAGAGACAGATTGATGGATTCTAAAAGCCGACTGGCTTTTTCTGCATTATAATCAGCTCATTTCCCCCCTTGTTTCTATTTCCCTTTCCTGATTTGTTCTCCTCTGTCTGACATCCTGCAGCGTTGGAGGTTTAAAGCCCTAATGATGGGAAGGCTGTCATAGCATACTGACCCACCCAAGCAGCTTGATAGCATGAGTGAAGGGCTTTGTGTGTTTGTACTCCCTCGTGCAGCGTTCTTTGTGAAAAGCACCAGCAATTCCCCTTCATGTTTTGTGAGCAACCTTCAGATTTCCACTTGAGGGACAGAAGTGATTTATTTTATCCGAGAGGATGCTCGGTCTAAGCAAGCCGCTTCTGTGTACAGTACTAGTGCACCCAGGTCAGTTTAAGTTCACCCATGCTCAAGTCATAAGCTGAAATTGTAGTTATAATAAATTGTTTTGCAGCATTGGACGTGAAGATACACGTTTGCATTTCCTCACTCAGCGTGAAGTCCGTAAACGTTCCACAGTAAAACATTTCCGACGTCCCCGGCCCAACGGGCTGTTTGTTTCCGTGAGTCAGAACTTGTGCAAACATGCTGATTTTGATGTAAACTTGTGTTGCGGTGTTTGCAGAACGCGGGTGAGAAAGGAGACTTGCTTGTCAGGTTTCCGCATGGCAGCCATCCGCAGCAGACCGCATACTCGTATATAGCAAACCCCATGACGCCCAGTTGAAAACCTGTGTCCTGTATGTAGAATAAGGCAAAAAAAGACAGGCAGAGTTGGAGTCTCACTATTTGATTTATCTACAGGTCTGGAACAAAAGGAAGGAGAAAATCTAGAATAAAAGGCAGCATATGGTTGGTTCATATGGTTGTTATTTTCAGACAGGCTACGTGGGTTGAAACATGCTGTTCTACTACAAAGTTGTGATATTTTCAAAGCCGAGCGAGATCCACATCTTTCCATTTCGCTGTAACTTCCTTTGAAATTTTTCTTCCTGTTTCTACCTTCTGTCCAACAGTTGTCAAGGCCTCATATCTCTGCACCTTGAATGGCTTCAAAGTGAGGAGAATGTTTAAGTGCATTGCACCGTGTTTCTCTCTCATAACCGGCTCCTCCTCAATTATCACTTTCCCTCGCCGTCCCTCTTGATGTTTCGCGAAAGACGCTGCTTTGTTTCAACTTCAGTGGCGTGACAGCAGGGCGCCGCTTCATTTGCGGAGATTGTTGAGGCCACTTGTTCAAGACGTGGCTCTTAGCTCTAATCTCATGGGTGGTTTACTGTATCAATGTTTTTCTCCCATAGTTTGTGACCCTGGGGAAGAACAGCCGTGGTTACCACTACATCCTGGCCAATCTGGTGAGTAATAGCCGAGCCGTTCCCCTGGGATGGAGTGGAACCAGCTTTTTTTTTTTTTTGCTGCATATGATGGGACTTAAGTCTCAGCCTTGAGCACAAATGTGTGCAATAAATGCATTTTAAGCTAAGGGAACACTTGATTATATATTTAATTTTCCCTACTATATATATATATATATATATATATATATATATATATATATATATATATATATATATGTATTTATATGGTGTGCTCTGTTTGTTGCTCATGTCCAATCAATCACAATCTGGCAGCATATCGACTAAATTCATATACTCATATTTAAGTGTAGTTGCATGTCTTGAGCAATAAATGATCAGCATTTAACCTTTTTAACCATTTTTGGAGGGAAGCCATCTTTTCCTTCCACTCTCCTCCATTTAGTACTGCTATTAGAATGAGAGTTTTAAAGTGGAGGCCCTCCCCACTCTGCCTCGCTGATCCACTGCTGCTTTTTACAGGACTTTAGAAGATGCGATTATGCAGCAGTTGAACACGTGTCCTTGCACACCACGACACTGTGTTGCTCTTAAAAAACAGCATGTTTATAGCTATAAGGCAAAGAAAGAAATGTACACCCACCTTCAAAACGCATTAGAAAATGTTTTTTTTTTCTATTTTGTTTTTCAACATGGAAAAGGGATGTGAATAAAAGTAGGCCATCTGTAGTAAAATATTCAGACGATTACATGATCTGACACTAACTATAGAGGCGGGTTTCTGTAAATGAATCCAGACGGGCCTGTACCGCAATTTATAAAGATTTCGGTGTAAAGGCAAGATGCGTTTCTGATGTGTTGTCATTTTGTGGTGCTTCTCACCTGCTTAGACCTCAAAACTCTCAAAGAAAAAACATGTGACGCAGGTCCTCTCCCCCCCCCCCCCCGTGTGTCCCCTTTGTCTCATCTCAGGGATTTACCAACGTGAGCTTGGACAAAGTCTTCGCCGGTGGAGCCAACATTTCAGGCTTTCAGATCGTCAACCCCGAGAACCCGATTGTGCAGCAGTTTATGCAGCGCTGGGAGCGGCTGGATGAAAGAGAATTCCCAGAAGCCCGAAACACTCCTCTGAAGGTACTTTGCTCACAAGGCTTTTCATTGCGCATTCAGAACACAACCATCATCCCTTCTGAAGTGCTCTCTCTATCGGTTCTTCTCCTCCTCTCATCCTCTGTTTGCCTTTGTCATTCTGTCTCTCGCCCACCACTGGCCTCCTCCTCCTCCTGCTCCTCCTCCTCCTCCTCCTTTGCTTTGCATCTTCCCCAGCAATCAATATATTGATAGGCAGTGCAAGGCAAGGTTATATCGCAGCCTCAATTTACATCTAATTAAACAATGATCAAGAAAGAAATGGATTTTGAATGGCATTTAATTAGATTTTCTTACGGTGCAACGGTCAACAAACAAGTGGCTCAAACCGTCAGTGGGGGAAAGGTCAGGAAAAGTTAGAGGGAAGTGCGTGAGAGATAACAAATCACGTTTACTTCCCAACTCTGCACTAAAAGTTTTAAAGAGGATCTGACTGTCTGACAAGGCTTTTTTTAATCCCATCCGTCTAATTGAACTATTTTTATCCAGGGCAAAGCGTCCAAGCTTGCACACGCCCAAGTCCGACGGGGAGGTGACTGACATGCAACGGCCAAAAGCGATCCGTCGACTGCCCCACTTTATACCGGGAGTCCTTTTACCGCACGCTAAAACATGCCGTCAAAACTGTTATCTGAAAATATTCTTCTCCAACCAAAGGGTTTTTAAACTATTCTTCTTTTACTCTAAGAAGATATATAGGACACCCTTTTGCAGTGTACAACGTATTTAGACAGTGTATATATGTACATATAAACCTGCAAAGGCTTTGCTACAATAACGATAATCCCTTCTGGTCTTCTCCCTTTCACCACGACGTCCTGTCTCACAGCATTCGCTGCGTTCTCTCTCTCTCTCTCTGTGATTTTGTACAGTACACTTCAGCTCTGACCCACGATGCCATCCTGGTGATAGCAGAGGCTTTCAGGTACTTGCGGCGCCAACGCGTGGACGTCTCTCGCAGGGGCAGCGCTGGAGACTGCCTGGCCAATCCCGCCGTACCTTGGAGCCAAGGCATCGACATCGAGAGAGCTCTTAAAACGGTAGGAAACAGAGACGGGGGAAGAGAGAGAGAGAGAGAGAGAGAGAGAGAGAAAGTGGCAAGCTGATAACTAAAGAAGAGGCTAGAAGAAGTGAGGACGGAGAGTGAGAGTGTGATAAAGATGGGAAGTGACAGAGCGAAGGGAAGAGAGCACAGAGCTGTTCTCCTCCCTCTGCCCGCAGATATCTCTGCACAGAGCGAACTCAAATCCAGGCCCTCATTACCATAAAACCATCTTTTATTAAAGCACATCCAGTTTGTCATTTGATTAAGAGGCTGCGAGCAGTATAGTACGTCCACGAACGCGATCACCTTGATGCAAGCTAGATATCCAAAGTGACGGCCATTAAACATGCCCCTGCGTCTGTCTGTCTGTCTGTCTGTCCCTCGTGGTAGGTTCAAGTGCACGGTATGACTGGGAACATCCAGTTTGACAACTACGGCCGCAGGACCAACTACACCATTGATGTTTATGAGATGAAAACAGGTGGTCCGCGGAAGGTGAGTCGGAGCGGTGACCTCTGTCGACTCTCATCCGTCAACCGTCAAATCCGGGCCTGAATAAAAACCCTGTAGCTAACAAACAGCTTTCGCCCAGCGCATTGATCACCCATGCCGAAGAACTAAAGAGCGAATGTTGGCCATGTGTCAAAACGTTGCCCTAAACTATTTTTGAGAAGAACTGATTGAGCAAGTTGTGTTGTGTGTGAAAGAAGACATAAAACAAAACAAAAAAGAAAATCGCACTAGGCTCTACCTCTGTTCACTAAAGGGCTGAGGGCTTTTCCAGTCATGTGGGACCAGCAGGCCTGACGGGACAGTGCAGAGTAATGCTAATTGCCTTTCCTCTACCTCTGTAAGGTAGCGGCAGCGATGTGTTATCCTCAGACTCGCAAGCCGCACAAATCACCCACAGCCGGCTATCAGATAGCTCAAACTGCACCGTGAAGAGAATGATGCGAGGCTCTTTCGGTGCTGCGTGATAACGCAGATATATGATTTCTGCTCTCTCTCGGGACAATAATTACCATTCAGATAAGCAATTATTATAAAAGTCATTCAAGAATCCCTCTGGCTCTGCTTCAAAAACGGCAATTCCCAGCAGTACATTCACTTTATAACCGGTACCATATGATGACCTCCGGTTTTATTTTATAACCTCGCTCGAGTTTCAAGCGACGACTGTGAATTTCTCGTTTGCTGGATAAGTGTGGGCCCACGCTGCTAATGCCGCCTGCCTCCCAGGCCTCACATAGCCCACACTTTAGCTGGCATCGCACAGCCTTCTCCACACTGCCAACCAGGGCCGATAGAAGGAGTGTGAGAGAAAGGAGGTCAAGGGGAGAGAGTGAGGGAGTTAGGCAAGATGAGGCAAAGCGGGGCGGCGGCGTTTGTCAGGACCTGCAGCCTCGCTGACAGTCAGAGGATGAAGCTTCTTAACTGTGACTGTCACGAGTGATGCGTAGGGCTGATATCTGTCCGAGCTGCTCGGGGTGAGATCGGGGCTCTGACTTCGGAGCAGCACTCCATGGCAACACTGGGGCGCGGTCTCGCAGTGCCCCCCCCCCCCCCCCCCCCCCCCTCCAATCCCACCATCAGCACTTCTCAAACATCACTGTGTTTAGAGCTTTTTGTTCCAGTCTTGCACTAACAACATCCATAACTGCAACCACAGTTTAAAACTGAGGAGTATGCTGCTTTCTAGCGCCTCCAATTGGTGTCAGGAAAAACTCTCCACTGCTGTACACCTGTCTGGCTTGAACATTTAAAGATCTGAGGCACCAAAAAAAAAAAAAAAAAAAAGAGGAGGAGAAAATGCAGACCAGATGTGTCGAGGAAAGTCCCAGCCAGCAACAGTTAGAATATTGGCAGCAACATATGCAACACGTTTCATCGTGAGCCAGAGCAGCCATTATTTCAGATGGGCAAACAAACAGTTGACATTGGTTTGACTTAAGCATCTGCACAGCAGAGTACGGAGAAACTGCAACGGCAGATTGTGCAGAAGAAGCCGTGGAGCCACTGGAATATTATGCTAAATTATTAAACGTGTATGCAGTTCACAGGCCTGAATATCAATTATTTACTATAAAACCTGGGAAGCTGAAGGTCGGGGAGGATTGAAGCCGTCTGCTGCGTGCACACGCAACTAAGTTCCTGCACATTTGGCTGTTCGAACGCACTCTCTGCATGTTAAACGTATTAATATCAACTGTCTTTTTAGCATTCTGCTCATTCGCCGGTGTTTTGGTCAGACTTCACAACAGCGGGCCTCTTTGTGTAAAACTGTGTTTTTTTAATGAGCCCGGCAGCGAGACGGTTCCCATGCAATACTTTGACGTGTCCCTGCTATGTATAAATATTACATATCCTCAGTGTGCGGCAACGGATCACTAACCACTGTTTTCTCTTTGCAGATCGGGTACTGGAACGAGTACGCACGATTTGTAAATATTATGGACCCGCAGGTCTCCAACGACTCCTCAGTGGAAAACCGAACGATTGTTGTCACTACTATCATGGTACACTTTCCATGCAGTTTTAAATGTTTCACGTATTCTGCCACTCAAGGTCATGGTGTTGATTCCAATGAGCGATCCATTCTGTCCTGGGCGGGTAGAACCACATCTCTTTTGTGTTGCTTTCCATCCACTCACTACACGTTGAAACAGTCGCCCCGACACGGAGTGTTTCAACTGTATCCGTGTGGGTGTCAAAGCATTTTGATTTTCCATACTTCAGTGGCCTGTCGTAGCAGTGACATCACAATAATGGTATAAATGATAATGGTTGACTCCATCAATTACCAAAAGCATACAAACGCATACGTAAGTAAACCTGTCTGTCCTCATCAAGTAAATGTTCAATGACACCTGGGATAGACGGGCCCAAGAATGACCAGAGGATTTTACTAAAACAGTTTCTCAAGCTGGGCAAAGCAAGATAAACAGTATTGGAGGAGGGATAAGCAGATGTGGTATTTTTTTCCTTGTTATCGCCTCTCCAATATATTTTGTATTGCTCCTACATGTGTTCTGTGTTGAAGTAGAACTTCCATGCAGTGATTTCAGAGGAATCATTTTCTGGGAATTTTTTCCCATTTTCAGGGTGATAAACAAACAACTTTCAAGTAAATCATTCAGGCTCATCGGATAGCGGGATAGCCATCTCAAATGTAGTTATTTCATAGATGGGTCGACGTCGTAATTCACTGCAAACAAAGATGTTTAAAGTGAAAAAGACAGATATCTCTTACATTTGCGCACGTAGATGATCTGTATTCCGAGGCGTAAGCCGACGTCGCCCCGTAGCATGAAGAGCACATTTAAGATCTGTAGATGAGTAATGCAGTGAGGAGTTAACATGTGTTAGACTCACTAGATCCAAGGTGAGGGGATACGTTCAGCACAGAACAAACAAACCATTTCTCTCCTTCTTGCACTCTAATTGTGTGTGACTGTAATGGCAATGCCTGCTCTCCTGAGCGTTCCTACGGTTTGAAAATGATGATCTGCTCAGTAAGAGAAAAAACAAGCTGCACCAGCGATTTGGAGAGGAAATCTCGCACGATCCTACTCTCCCGATGTAATTATTTCATTTATGGAGGTTTTCTTTTTGCATTTTTTTGGAAAGCAAATAACGGCTCGTTTTTTGTTTTGTTTTTTCTTTCTTGTTTTGGAATGAAACGGCCCGTCAGTGCGCATTGGTGCAAAGTGCTTGAATATGTTGAGAGACTATAGGCACTCAGATCCCTTTCCTGTCACTGGCATTTACTTATGAAACCCATCCCCATTCCCATTCCCACCCACCTCTGAGCTAACCCACACCTTGCCTACCAATGACTCCCAGCCGTATTAAAACTCATTCTGGCCTTCTCTCTTCTCCTACAATAATTGAAAAAAAAAAAAAAAAAGAAACTGAACCCTCCTTTATTATACCAGAGTTGCACCCCTGGGCTCAGATGGGCTTGGTGTCTGCTGGCTGCCACCACTTGATGAAAGCAGGGTGACCACATGTTCATGCTGCTGTTGTCAGAGTGTAGTTGTGCATTTGCGGGGCATCATCTGTATATGCATGACTGCATGGATGTGGATATAGCAGCTAATGATATTTTGAATCTCTGTGTGTGAGTGTGTGTTTGTGTGAGTGTGTGAGAGTGCGTGCGTGTTTGTTTTGTGTATGCGCGTGAGTGCGCACGGGCACATATGAGTGCATGTATGCATATTTCTGTTGAACTGAATGTGTTGCCAGGGCATGGGAGTGAATAAACCGGCGTATGTTTGAATCAACAGGAAGCTCCTTATGTGATGTACAAGAAAAATTATATGCATCTGGATGGGAATGACAGATATGAAGGCTACTGCGTCGATTTAGCATCTGAGATCGCCAAACATGTTGGAATTAAGTACAAACTGTCTATAGTAATGGATGGGAAGTACGGAGCCCGAGACCCCGAGACCAAGACGTGGAACGGGATGGTGGGTGAACTGGTCTATGGGGTGAGTACTGGGAGCCTTAATTTCGCTGATTACATGACAGTTTGCAAGGAACTTCAACATGAGAGGAGATCTCATTTTTCTGTCTTAAGGTCATCACCAACCCGTTGTGAACTCATCAGCTCTTGCCCAGTTCAAAGTCTAAGGCTGTCTCAGCTGTGAGTGAATTTGTCAAATGCAGCCTCAAGCATTCGGGGGGTTGGTGATCATCTTGAGACGGAGAAAATGAAATCGTTTCTCAGGGCTGTTCACTGCCATTAATCCTACATGCTTAGCCTAGAAAGCTCTCTCTCCCTTACAGTCACAAACAGAGGTAGGTACATGAAAACAATGAGTCCATATGGCAAACACACTGTACTGACTTTGATGAATGAAAGATTGTGCGCCTTTGAAGTGATTGTGTAATTATGTTCAATGTTTGATGTGTATGATGAATATGCCACGTTGTAAATTCACAGCTGAGAAAATGGGCTTCAGAATCAACAGCTAAATGGTGGTTAGCGGGTTGAAAAACAAGATCCATATGTGCTGCGCTTCATAAAGGTTGACGCTCTCGCGTTAAGGAAGGGGTCACGCCGTGTTTTACATCTGACACAGTGCTCAGGCTCTCGCAACACCTCAGGCATTCCCTAAATTACGGCCCCCTACTTTTCCCGCCTTTCTCCGAGGCCACAGTAGTCGAGCGAGGGGCCAAATCCAAAATGCATGAGGGTGAGGTTTCCTCATCTGTTCAATTTCCCAACTATCAGCCTGAGAGATTGCTTGGTTTGATGTGCTATCGTCGCCAAATTATCTTTCAAATGGGAAAAGTCCACTCCCTGCAGATGGATGGGGGGGGGGAACACCCCTCTCACGTTGCTGTCAAGTCCATCATGCTCCATAATTTCAAAGCAGGTGGGCTGGGACTAATAGTTCTGTACATTTTGACCTTTTGACCAGTAAATTAATTTGATTTTAGTTGTCTTTTAAAGGTTAGGCTCGAGGCTGCTCTTTATTGCTTTGTTTGCCTCAACATTGATTGAGTGTTGCTTACGCCTGCACAAGGATTAAATGGTTATAGCTCCTTCACAATGCCGCGTTGACAGGGTAAAGAAAACAGCCGTGTTTATTGGGCCTATTTGCGCTGCTCCTAGTTTGACCTCGTAAGAAACATGTTCTGCGCGGCGCTGCTTCAATACAATGTTTTCCCTCGTTTCTCATTTCGACAAAGAGAGACAATATAGACAATACAAAAGAAGTGTCCTGCTTTGAAGAGGAGCAGTTATTTAATTACCCACATCCACTTTAGCTGCAGTAACACTGTCTAATGTGATTAATTAATTTCCTCCTTTTATACACGCTTTTAAAAAAGAAACCCATTGTGATTTCTAAAAAGGCGGCAGCACCTCTGTGGATGTGTTTTAATAACATAATTTCATTGAAGCTGCAGAGCAAAGGAGGCAGTTAGAAGAGAAACAGCTTGGAAAAATAAAGAATAAATAAAGCTGATGCCCAGAATAAGCCGTGTTTGGAAATCCAGCCCACTGAGTGAAAGTTTTCTCCTTCAGGTACTCGCAGATCCCCCCCCCCCCCCCATGTCACAGACATCAACCTCTTTACTGAATGATCTAGAATTTTCACTGCACCCATTACACCCGTCGTGAAGACGTCACTACATTTGAGTGTAAAAAACGAAAATCAATGAAACAGCAAGTCGAAAAGTAACACGTGGTAAAAAAAAAAGTGCTGATTTGATTGCACAATTGAAAAGTTTCCCCCCTAGTATCTCCTAGGGTCCTGATTAAGGAGACATTAGTTCAAACATGACTCAAAGTCCCATCTGCCTGGGCGGATTCTCTCCAAGCTGTCTGTCTGAAAGTCTAGCAGCGCTCTCATGAGCTTTTCCTTGTCATTTCCGAATGTAGCAAATTTGCAGGAAAAGATCAGATAAATATTACAGTTTGAGTGTCAGGTGTATAAGCTAAAATCCGAGGTCACATCCTTGTGCCAATGCGATTGTGCTTTTCTTTGTGTGGTTATTTTCCAGCGTGAACTGATCAGTTTTCGCGGTTGGTGGTTCATTTCTAATCGTGTGTAAAATGTGCTAACGCCATTGTTTTATTTTTCTCCCCCAGCTTCAGTCAATCATAACATATATTTAAAGTGACACGTGTCTATATGCAGGTCTTGACTAATGCTTGCTGTGCATGTCCCTGTTTCCAGAGAGCAGATATAGCTGTTGCACCTCTGACCATTACTCTGGTTCGAGAGGAGGTGATAGACTTTTCCAAGCCCTTTATGAGCTTGGGCATCTCCATTATGATAAAGAAGCCACAAAAGTCCAAGCCGGGCGTTTTCTCCTTCCTGGACCCGCTGGCCTATGAGATCTGGATGTGTATTGTGTTTGCCTACATTGGGGTGAGCGTGGTCCTGTTCCTGGTCAGTCGGTTCAGTCCTTACGAGTGGAACCTCGAGGAACAGGACGAGACTAAAGACCCCCAGACGCCCCCCGATCCTCCCAATGACTTTGGCATCTTCAATTCCCTCTGGTTCTCACTGGGCGCCTTCATGCAGCAGGGCTGTGACATCTCCCCCAGGTGGGTCAGCCTCATAGCAAACACAAAAAGTGAACGACAGACAACAACACAAACAAAATGTAGCCGAAATCTAATGTTGCGATGGGTTCTCAGTAAGTACACGGAGTAACTCACTGTGTCTTTGTTTCCTTATTTTTTTAAGCTCAACTCATTTCCCATTTATTTGGGCTGTAACACGTATAATGTGGTAGTTTCATCAGTTTGTATACTGAAATTATCATCAGCAAAATGGTTGCCACAATACTTTCTCCAGGCTAAGAAATGCCCCTGCAATTAAAGGCTTTGATTAGAGTACATATTAAACAGTGGAAATGTGCTGTATTGGAGGGGTGATGCAGCACCAGGTTGATTTACAAGGACATTCTGATTGCCGGAGAAATTGGATACATTAAACACAATTGTTAGCATCTTGATGCGCACAACGTGTACCTGTTTAATTGCATTCTTTGTTCGCCCTCTCGCAGGTCTCTTTCAGGCCGTATCGTTGGTGGTGTGTGGTGGTTCTTCACCCTCATCATCATATCCTCCTACACAGCCAATCTGGCTGCCTTCCTGACAGTGGAGAGGATGGTCTCTCCTATAGAAAGTGCCGAAGATTTAGCCAAGCAGACAGAGATCGCATACGGCACTCTGGACTCAGGCTCCACAAAGGAGTTTTTTAGGGTAAGTACGAGAAAACTGCTTCGCACGCAAAGCTGTTGGCTGAAATGTGCCGAAAACATGCAAAGACATAAACATGTCGCGCTGCGGCATGGCGCATCATAAGAATAACTTTGTGTAACGTCCTTCACCAACTCCTCCCCTCCGATTGTCCATTTTGTACCTTTAGTGCAGCACTTTTGACCCACACAAGATTGCTCCAAATGAGGCATGTTGACAGAGAAGCAGCTCTTGAACTCTTATGACATCAATGTGAAATTTATGCGGCAGAACTGCAGTGTGCAACCTTGAGGCACCGGGGCTGTCAGCGGAAAGTGTGATAACAACGTGGAAGACTCGGAGGTGATAAAAGCAGGAGGCTAATCAAAGCGTCCACATCAGGCTGAAACTCAGAAGGGTCAGCTCACGAAATATAATTAGCTAGCCGGCCGTGGCTGGCAAATTGGACCTGATGAAGAATAGTCCCGTAGGTCAAACACAGCAGTCCCAAAGACGGTTCAGATGGAATAAGTAATATGCCCGTCGGCGCGAGGGACTGGCCTGGCAATTAAGTAATAAATGAAGTAAAATCTGAAGCGGAAGTATATCTCGGGTTCTGAGAAGCAACCGCATGCTCGTTGCGCGGTGTTTAAACGACGCTGCAAATCTTTAAGGCGATCAACCTTCTGCTGAGCGATCCGTAGATGTCGAAGCCGGTGACGGAGCCGCATCAGCAGTCACCTCTTTTGCATTTGCAGAGCACGACGTTGGAAACAAATTAATGGAACAGCAATCTGCCTGAGATGACAAAAAGGCAATATGACAGTCTTTTTACCAAGGCTGCCTCATTACTCATCGGCAGGAGAGAAACGATTCATATGTTTCACAGCTGCAGACTGTTGGCAGAAGGAGCAATTCATTTGTATTACCCCTGGGTTGAATTGCTAAGAACAACCAAATGCAAAATCAAATTCATGTTGGGCTTTTTTTTTCCGGAAAAAAAAGGACAAGACAGCGTCTGCGGGGTTTGGTTTGTGAGAGAGGTTTGTTTCTCCGGCGCTTGTTTTAACGGGCTGCGCAGCGTGAAGATAACAGTGTCCCATGATAACACGCACGGTGAATGACACGCGTGACAAGAAGCGCTCCGTCCTCCATGCAGCACCTCACAAAGCCCATCCTCAATTCCATGTTCAACAGAGATGCTGCACAGGTGGATACACGCCGTATGTCTTTGAGCCACCTACGTGATGGATGCCAATTACGCATTTGGTTTCCAGCGTGACAGTGGAGCCGCGTGTCCCGGGTCCGCTGGTACAACTATCCGAGAGGTGTCGCGCTTTCCTGTATTTTCCTGTAACGTGTCCTAGTTATGTCCCCATGTTTTCAAACAGGAAATGGCATGTGTGAACTGCTACTCCGATTTAATTAGAGCCGCGAAAAAACGGACAAGGAGAAAAACACACATAGGGAGTTAAAGTTCTATTTCAAATCTGGTTCTCATGAAATACATTCAGGCTTAATTAGACCCACACGGCATCAGCCAGCTGGAAATTTTAAATTAAGTTCAATATTTCAAACGCAACATATGTCATCATCTCTGAACCTCCTCCCACCACCCGGCTTCAATTTTTGAGGTTTTCACCTGGTTTATGTTATGTTTATGTTTGAGCATGAATCGTTCTGCTTTCTTTGGAAGCATATGTAAGAAGCACTAACACAAATATGGCTCGTAATAATGATCTTTAAAACCTTTCAACTCCTATTACGGTGGTTTATTTTTTCTTCATATCAGTCATTGTCTTCAGTGAATTTGAGATCTTCTGTTCTTTTCAGCACCTGAGACATTGACAGCTCGGACTTCCGTCTCACTGCCCCATAGTGACAATATTCCCGTCACCGCGTGTGTGTGTTTGACTTCATTTGGTGGTGAGAACGAGGAGAAGCTGCAAAGGAATTTTCCAGGGGAGACGTGTTAGAGTAGAGACCCCGTATTCGGCTGCTCACAACCAACTAGGACAGATGGTCTGGGAATCTTTTGACGTGCCCGGTGGAAGCCTGAAGGACTCCAGGCGGCTTCACCCGAGCTCGGCTCCTCTTCCCCAAACTGCCCCGCTTATTTGAGCACCCTCTTCCCCTCTGTGTGCAGCCTGTCTGTTGCTTCACCTTGAGACAACGCCGCATGGCTTGAAGCTTTCGCGCTGCACTTCCTCGACATAACAGCTGTCATGCGCCGCTGCACCACTTTGACTCGTATCATTATTTTAATTCCTGTCATGGATCTTTTCATGCAGTCGGATGAATATTTGTGTTCTGGATGATGATGAGAAAATGATGAATCGTACCAACAAGGCCATGTTTATCCCCCTGATGAGGGTTTTAGCCCATCAGAAGGTTTGACTCGGTTCCATTGTGAATTGTTTGAAGGAGAGGCTGGATGGTAATAGGGCCGGGATGATAAAATAGGCTGATGTGGCTGTTTAATTACGTACAAAGACCAGGGCGAGACCATCAAAGTCAACCACACTGTCCCATCGTGCACCTCATTTAACAGCCTAACAATGAAATAATGATAATCGCACTGAAAAATGAGAGCAGCATTGTTTTCTGTTCCCCTCAAACGATTATACATCACCCAGAGCCTCAGCAGCGAGCGCCGTGCATCTTACTGATCTGCAGGTGTAGCGGAGATGGAAACAACAGCTCGAGTGCAGCCACCAATGCATTTTACTAAGCATGAAAATCAATTTCACGTCTCACCACCTGTGCCACAGACACTATAGCTTCTGCATGGTTCAATACGATGTTTAATAAGATGTTTTTTCGTGTTTTCTTTCATGCAGAGCAGACCTGCATTAGGCTAGGTTTGCATGAAGAGAAGCCAGCAAGGAGATTTACCGAATTAAAACCTAAGGTTAGCCTGCAATCCCATGCAGCACAAACCCCAGAGCTCTTGTCACTTTGTGTTTTCAATACTGTACGGAGTGAAGGGGGGGGGAGGGGGCGCGATAAAGATTAGAGCCTGTTTGCATGAAAGAGAAAGCTGACAAAAGTGATGATGGACTAGTGCGAGATTGGCGTCACCTCCGAGGAAATGCGCCGTCCTCAGCGGGCCTATTCCGACCTCAGATGAGCAGCAACAGCAGGCACCGGAAGATCTATTGGAGTCCAGCAACAAGCATCAAAGACGAGCAATTGGTATTCAGGGCGTAGCGCATGGCACTTCAATGACGAAGTACACCCCCAGAGCCTCAACTTTCATTTCTGCATACTTGAGATACAGGTACTCCTGACATGCAAGATAGAAAGGGTGTGTGGGGGAGGGGGGGGGGGGGTGTTGTCCACAAACCGAAATGTAAAGGAAGTAAAGTAGGAAGGAAAATGGAGTTGTGGGTGTTTGGAGACGGCCTTTAGGTGCCACACATTCGGTGAAGCCCGTCCTGAGGGGGCCATAATGAAAGAAGGCTGCTGCAACGCCAAAGAAAGAATAAAAAGCAGGCTGCAGTTCGAAGGGTAGTAGACGAAGGGCTGGAATCGCTGCATAACTCAGATCAATACATATTAAGTGGTTGTTTAGAATGCAAAGGGCAATGGCTTTGACTTTAGATTTCAATATCTTGTCTCAAATGCTTTAATCCCATTTTGGGGAATTTCTGGAACGTATAGAACATATAGAGTATTTTCTAATGCAATTCTGGGATAATAGAGGCCCGGGACAAATTTAGCACTGCAACAAAATAAATGCTTTAGCTTTACTGCTGAAATCCAAGTACAATGCTCAGGTAAATCTCAATAAATACAACTGTGTAGTAGTATTACGAATGACTTGTGAGTACTTTTGAATTCAAACACAGTACGAACTAGTAGACTAAAAGAGGTGGTGGATAACACCAGGACAACAGTACTTTTTTAGTACAACTGAAAGTTTTTGTTGTGTTTTGTTTATTGAAGGAAAAAACCCTTCACGGATCCTTCCCCCTGGTTGCCCCCCAGTGGAAAACGCTAATTCTTGTACCTAATTGCTCTTGTACCTAACCAATGCTGTGAAGAAACCTTAATTTGTATGTGCATACAGCAGAGTGCCTCTGCCTATTTAACTGTGACTTAGACTTGGTGATTCGTAAGACTTCTCCCCATAACAATAACAATAAGCACCCTCCAGTTTTGCTTTTGTTTCCCTCTAATCTTGTCTTGCAACATCCTATTCTCTTTATTCCTCATCTTAGGTCACCAGGCTGCGGTAAAAGGCCTTACTTTGTCTTTATTACTATTTTGAGATAACCGGCAAACCCACAGCCTCAGACAGACTTGCAGGAGGAACACCTACGCAGATGATGTAACTGTGTAGGTAGGAGGGTTGGCTGGGATCGACTATTTAGGTGCTTCATTACGAACGGAGTAATATTATGATTGCTTATATAATTTGAAGATATTTTATTGGTGACATTCAGATTGACATTAATATAGCAGCAAGCCACTGTGCGGTCAGTAAAGATGTGGTTGATTAATTAGTCTACAGCTACTGCGCTGTGTGCTGCTCTCATGCGGCGACAGCAGCTTACAACCAACCCAGTTGTTGGTTTTCACCCCGGCTTTACACTCTTAACTCTGTCAGCGATGTTGCCGTTATTTGCTCAGCTGTGAGCCGCTATTTCTGCTTTGCACAATAGCTATTCGAATATGATTTTAAATGCCGCCACTCCCTTTTAATTGTGTGGAAGCTCTAGCCGGGCAACTGAATTGTGAGAAACTGTGTGGTGAAGCTGTATTTATGGACGACTATAATTGCTCAACCAATTGTCTGTTCATTGATGGATTTTTGCAGTCATTATTCCTTAATTGAATTTCAAATGACCACCGTCGACCGCAGTGTGAATGATTACATTTCAAAAGAGATGAGAGTAGCTTTTCAATTAATCTGTTTGTACCGTGTGCATGTGTATGAGTGCGTCCGTCAGTATGCATGTTTGCTCCACATTATGCTAAAAATAATTAATTTCCCACCCCCCCCCCCACCCCCACCCCCACCCCTCTCACTGTATCTTGTTTTATCGCTTTCTGTGTAGCTGAAACGGCTTTAAGCATCTCAGCTGTGACTTGCAATGGAATCGGCCCATTTAGGTTTCGGTCGCACTTTGTCCCCGCTCTGATATTGATGAATTGACTTCGTGAAGCACTGAGGTAGCACACTCTGTCGTCAGTAATCAATGCCCACATCCATTCTTTTCTCTTCATTTGAGGAGGCGTCTGCAGCTTTCCCACTGCGGAGCAGATGAGCTTGGGAAATTGCCCTCTAAACTAGTGTCCTTCCCACGATG